TTTATTTGGCGCGTCTATCACCAACATAGGCCAATCGGCTAACCAGTATTTTCGCCCCTTCCCAAAATTACTTTAATTTATTTGTTTATTTGATAGGGACAAGTATATTTCATGAATCATGTCACACACTACAACATTTTAGCTAAGGCTAATTCTCAATGCCTGTCCCCAGTTAGGCTTTTACACAAAACACAGTGACTGCACACAAGAAACAACAGAACAAATTACACACCAAAACATCACAGATACAAGATCAGGTCAGTTAGATTATTAATGTTCACATGTCTGACCTCTCAATGAAAAGTCTTTAAGTTTATGTTTAAAAAGGACCCAGTTTGACTCTCCCTTCAGTTCTGCAGGTAATTAATTCCATGTTTTGGTGCCTTGTAAAGTGAAAGCTGATAATTATTAGATACTATTGTTTTTGTAATAAGATAATGGTGCACAACAACAAATGCCTTTTAAAAAATAAGAAAAAAATATAGTGTTTTAAGTGAATTATTGCTTATTTTGAGCAAAATAATTTGCAGCAAGCAAATGAGACTTGGTAAGATTTCTTAAAACAAGAACATAATATCCAAGTAGTAAGCATCCAAAAAAAAATTAAATCAAGTATAGAAATCTATTTTTTCTTTAACTTGTTAAGATTTTTTCTCCTATTTTAAGCAATGTATTCTCATTTATTCGTCATTATCGCTTAGAATTAAATGTCCTCTAACCAATTATTGCTCAAAACAAGCATAGAACAGGCTTAAAAACATGGCAAATGTACTTGATACCAGTTCATTTAAAGGCTTAAAACTAGTCTGTTTTTCTTAGCTAGAATTAATTTCATTATTTAGGTGTAGTGAATGTATGGGACAAAAACTTCAAAAAGTTTTTTTTTTATTAATATTTTAGCAGAAAGGTCACAGAATTAAGTGAAATACACCCCCCACCCCCTCCAAAAAAAACCCCCACAAAGCTGAGGTCTGCACAGCTTTGAAGAGATGAAGAGATGGTGATGTAGCAGTATCGCTACATCACCATCTCAGTTTTAGTAATGTAGTTTATTCTCACATTATAGATCAAAGAGATGTGAAGTGCTGCTTTAGTAGAGCCATAATTCCATGTAGCGTATTTTCACGACCATAAGGCGCACCATACTAAAGGCGCAGTCTCAGTTATGTGTGCCATTACTGTATTTAACACACACATAAGGCGCACCGGATTATAGGGCGCAGGTTTTATATACCGGTACATGTCCTCTACTACGTTTAAATACCTCTACTGCGTATTTAAAAATAGAGCGGGAGCAAAACTGAGTATGATTGTGCTTTATTCATGTATTTATTACAAAGTATTAATCGAACCCATCGAAGTCATCATCCTCTGTTTCTGAATTAAACAGCTGCGCTAAATCAGACATGCCAATTTCCCCTTCTTCGCTATCAGAGTCACTTTCCGTGGCGTGCGGCTCCTCGGAAATGATGCCGGCTTTTGCGAAAGCTCGAACAACAGTGCCAGCAGACACGTTAGCCCAAGCATCTACAATCCATCCGCAAACGGTGGCGTAACTTGCCCGGCGCTGCCTTCCACTTTTCGTGAAACTGTGGTCTCCGTCTGTCATCCGCCGCTCGCAGCCTTACTTTGAACGGCTGGTTCACGCCGATGTCGAGTGGTTGAAGTTCCTTTGTCAGACCCCTGGGATAACAGCGAGCAC